TTGATCCTATGTTTATACATTGATTTTGTGTTGGCATTATATCGCTTTTTTACGAAGTATTTATTATTATTATTATTATTATTATTGAATTGATGAATTCATTTTATTTTTCAATGGATATTAAAGGGGGCGATTGTTTCTCATTTTTTAAAAAATAAAAATAAAAAATATAATCGTTATGAGCCCCACAAAAGATATAGAAATTCAAATTTGGTGACTTGATATGATAAATAACGATCACATTTTTATTTTAATAAAGAAAGAATGGAAAACAAACAAGCTAAAAGTCAATTAAAATTTTTGGAGCAGAATATTATTATCCAAAACTTCAAATCAAAATGACTATTCCTTCAATAAACAGTGCCTATAGTAGGAAAAATATATAAAAAGAAAATTTGTATGAACAGTATATAATGCAACCGCGGGAAAGAAAAGAAGTTACTTTATTAAGGTTAAACCCCAATGCTCGCGTTTCAATGCAAGCCTTCATCCATGAAAGACTTTCCTCATTTTGCATGTACTCTTTATAGTCTTTCTCTTCCTCTACAAGACTTGCAGTTAATATTTCACCCAATTTCTTTCTCTCCAATTTTCATTTTCTTTTTATCTTGTAAATATCTGTATTTTCAAAATCGAACCATGTCTATGAATACACATACATCTAGTTATTGGGTTGGAACAACGAAAAATTTATTATTTATAAAACGTTATTCATTAAATTGTAATATCTTCAATTATCCTAATGTGTACAACGATTACGTGTATTAATTGGACATGTTATGATGAGTTGTGATTGACTGTGAATTGTTATTTGTTTCGAAATACTATGAAAATTTAATTTTCGAGAGTGATTGAATGTGAAACTTACCTTTCTGCGAAATATCAGCGGAAATTTACTCGTTTTTACTCTTTAACGACTTTAAAGAAAAGAAAACTCTTTTTCCCCATCTCCAATTCCATCATTCTAACCCTAAATAAACCATTAAAGCACCTTATTTAAAACCAGCCGAATAAATAAAAACCCCTCTGATCTACAGTAACAAACAGAGAGACCTTATTCTTTGTAACGGCATGGAGCAAAGACATTCTCAAAACCCCAATTTTCCAGCGTCTAAGTCGCCGGAAAATCAACAGAACCACCGCGGTGAACACCCTTTTTCCCAAAAAACCCTTCTACAAATCCCTTTAAATGCAAACTTTCAAACCTCTGATCGAGCAATTGAATCAGCCTTTTCCAGGCTAACCCTTTCCCAAGATTTTCAAGCCCAACATGAAACGTCGTCGTCTGTCAATCTTCCCCTCAGGGTCGATGGCTTGGAAGCCGCAAAGCCAGTCGCCTTTTCACTGGGGTTTGGTGAAAAGCAAGAGAACACTGGGGAGTTGCAGCAGGCTTTATTTTGGGCTCAGGCTCAAAGTAATGATTGTGGTGTCAATGGGCCTTTCAGTTTAGACGTCCAACAGAATCTCAACGTGGGACCGGAGATGATGGGTATTGGTAAAAGCAGATATCTTGATGGAATTGGAATTGGAGTTAATCCTCTGAGGTTGATGGAATATCAAGGACATGGTGTTTTTGATACTTTCAATGATAATCATGAGTATTCTTTCTTGCATGGCAATAAACCCTTTATAGGAACCAGCCCCCAATATCCAAATTGTCTGTCTTCAACTAACAATTTCATGAATTTCAGTTCCAGGCCGAGTTTGTGCAATAATCAGCACTTGTACCAATGGGAGGAACAGTTGAGTATTGAAAATTTGAGAGGAAGAATAGTTTCATTGGCAAAAGATCAAACCTGGAGTGGGATTTTGAAGTTCAAATTGGATGAGGGGTTGACACTGCCTAGACTTGAAATGGTTTTATCAGAGGTGTTGGAATTCTTGAGTGATGTGATAACAAACCAGTCTGGAAGTCAATTTTTGCTCAAGCTTTTCATGGTGTGCAATGTGGAACAGAGGAGTAGGATTATTTTGAGACTAACTAGATGTCCATTTCAATTTATTAATATTTGTCTTAATTCACATGGGTATGAATTAATTAACCCTAAAATTTTATACTGATTTACCTTTCTATTTGTTGAGAAAGCTTTGATATTCTGTTCTGATTTTCAGGGCAAAAGCTATTCAAAAACTGTTGGAGAAGCTAAATACTCCGCATCAAATATCACTCATAGTGTCTGCTTTAAGCCTTGGTGCTGTTGCCTTGGCTAATGATCCCAGTGGTCAGCTTGTTATTCAACACTGTGTAAAATATTTACCTGCTGAATATAATAAGGTAATAAAAATGTTATCTTTATGTCTTCATGTATGTTATTACTAACTAAAGCATTGAAATATGTTGTTATGTCTCCTTTGGTGTATATTATCTTGGTTTGAGTATTGTAATTATTCTATCATTCAGTGTCACTCATGTACAGAAAATAATTAGAAGAAGTGGGGAACCAAATAGTAGTTCTAATTTGTAATCAAATGGCTGCAAATCTTGGTAGCCATGTTATACTGATGAACTTTTTCTTATCAAAGTGTGTTTTAGAAGAATGGAAGAAAAAGTGTTAGTGATTCTAAAGCATGTAAGCATCTCTTTTTGCAATTGTGCTTATAAGTTTTGATTTGTTTTTAGTTGGTTTAATGTTTCTACACAACTCTAAAGCAGTGTGTTAAACTTGGCTGCTCTTTTGTCATATCTGCGTTTCCTTGTCGTCGTGGTTTGTTTATTTATTTTTATTATATAATTTTCGTTAAGCACTTTCTTAGGAAAAGAAATTTTATATTTTCAGATAACTTGTAATTTTCATCGACTTTTAAGTTGGGTGTGTTCACATTGAATCAATTTGTATTATTGACTGCCCATTGACCTATCTGGAAAAAGTTTTATGTTCAATTGGACATGCTATTTAGTACCTAAGGTATCAGGGGCCATTTTTAGAAAATATTACTGTATGGATATGATTAGTTGCTTGATTAATTTGAAAGGACTACCTATAGGACTTGTTCATATTAGCTTATGGCGCTGGGATAATGGCTTGGCATTTGGCAAAAGAAACACTATCTTTAACAGTCACGTTATATATTTGCATCATGACTCCAGCCGAGCTTTGTTGCCAATAAGCACAGAAATTGGATGCCCAGGATTCCCTGATAGTTTGGATGCCATTATATATAACTCTGAGATGATATGAACTTCATGCATACCTATTTCTTTGCCTTTATTGTTCCGTTTTGGATCCATTTGCTAAGAAGCAAGTTCATTCGTCCAAATTCTTATCTTAATCATATATATCTCGGATGATTGTCTATAGATCTCCACTGTGAATATTGGATGGAGAAACTTGCTATGGTCAATGTGAAGCCAGTATATTGTATGATTTTTCTTGTAACTCGTACTAGGAGCATCAACGAGAAGAGGCATTTGTTCTACTTAAACGATGGCTGATAGGCATTAGCTGCTAAATACATTATTTTAAAACCTTTGACCGGAAAAAATAGTCCAGATATATTTGCCGAAAAAATGCAGTTAAAGGGAAATTTAGCCTTATTTGTTAACTAGGTGAGCAAAGTTACCGTGGATCTTCCTTGTTGGCTTTGTTAGGACCCTGATAAATTGAACTTCATTAAGAATTTTTTACTTCATCATATATGCCTTCAGGTTTCACTAATTAAATTATTTTAGTGTTTCTTTCTGAGGCTGTTTAAAGTTCACCATACCTGAACTCAGTAAGTGTTGGCGTAAGTTCTGTTTTCCAGTTCAATCAGCTATCTAACAATGGAATCCAAATGCTAGATTCTTCTCAATGAGATAGGAAAGAATTGCTTTGTGATTGCAACCAACAAAAGTGGGTGTTGTGTGATGCAATCGTGCATGGAACACTCGTGCGGGGAACTGAGAGAACGGTTAATACATAATGTAGTAGCGTATGCAGTCCACTTGGCTGAAGATCCTTATGGGTAAACCTACAAGCTTATCCTGTGCATTCCATCCAGGTCATTGATATTGATATGACCACACAAACAAATCTGATCTATTTTATTTCAAATGTTCTAGGAACTATGTAGTGCAACACTTGCTGGGAATGAAAATTCCAGAAGTCACTACTGATCTTGTGAGACAGTTTGAAGGAAAATTCTTGTCTCTCTCCTTCAATAAGTATGCGAGTAACGTGGTGGAGAAATTTTTGGAAACTTCAGGAGAAAGCCATTCCAGAAAAATTATCATTGAGCTGATTAGCAGTCCAAATGCCTCTATGCTTCTTGTGGATCCGTTTGGAAACTTTGTTATTCAGTCAGCATTGTCAGAAGCAAAGGTAAGATTAATCGCATCAATAGGAATGAACATTATTCACAGCAATAGAAATCCGAATTCTTAAGTCTTCACATTCTTTTCTTACAATGTGCTGATTATGTTAGATTTTGTAAATGACATCCATATGTATGCTGACTGTCATATTTATTGAGACCAATTGTGTGGATGAATTGATGTACACAGAAATTGTTACCCTCCATTATTAACAGAACTACATTCAAGCCCGTTAATATTTTCTTGGATATAAAAATAATTGTCAAACTATTACAGAGCAAATGTCACTAGAACAAAACAACTAATTTGAAGAACTCAAGCAAAAATTCTAGAGGTTCCTTACAAAATTAATAAAAATACCAATATGAAGGGAACAAATGATATTGGAGCCCTTACCTAAATATGGGGCTTTACAAGGTTTTGACGCTTTATCACCTGATCATATTGATCTTCGATTAAAATTTTCCACTACAAAAACCCTAAGCTTATAATTGCTGCTAATGTTTCAATGCATGTTGATAATTTGGACTTCAAAGAAATGGGATTGCTCTAATTCTTATTAATTTGTAATTTTCCGTTGTGCATGAACAGGGGCATGTTCGTGACGCCCTGCTGAATTTAATCCAAGCTAATGTGTCATCCATTCGAAACAATCTTTATGGGAAAAAGATCCTTAGTTGCCTTGAAAAGAAGAAGCTCTTGCTTGTGTAGCATGCCCAAGTGATAGATGTTCATATCTGGAAGAGTCACCTAGGGTATTTTACTCTGCATGTTTTTCATCTAGTTTATATGCAATTTTTGTCATTTTCAACTGTTGTAAGTGTAGTTTTGTGATATAGCTATGGTCTTTTGAGTGAACTTTATCATAGAGAATGTTTACAAGGACAAAGGAGGCTGTTGAATATTTGACGATGCAATTGGAGCATCAGAATTTGTGATCTGTAGCAGAAAGTGTGGCATATAGCGCTTTTAAACCGTGAAACTTCAGTTCTTTTGATGGTGATTGTATTATTTATTTAGTGTCGTCATTATTTTTATCGTCAAGATTTAATTTAATTATTGCTGTTGGAAAATATATGAAATCACTAAGTACATTCTTACTTGACTAGTGCTATTCATCATTAGTACAAATTATTCTTTCTTGCCATTCTCTGAATTGCGCTATGGCTAGATGCTC